AATTCTACATTGAAATAACTTATTCATTAGCATCCCAAATCTTGAAATTTTGATGTTTACTCATAAAAATAATTATATTTATATCTTTTACGTAACCCCATATAATTCTATGATAATAATTCATTATATCTTTTCCAACACCTTATATTAAATCCAAAGTTAATAATCGATGTTGAGTACTTAAATATTCACTTGGGATAACCTTACAATCTCTACATTCACCACGATCTCTTTTTTTAAAAAAAAAATAATTAATTTGTGTTCTATCAGATTTGTTCTTATAAGTAATAATATGTTCATCTCTTTTCTTAAATAAAATATTAAAATAAAAAAATCATAAGCTAAAATAAAGTCTAATACGCTTCTACCTAGCCACCATAAATATTACTAAAAATTTATATCTCTACCAACATATTCATTTAAATTTCCTCCAATAAAATTTTTTTCTTCAACAACAACAAAAAAAACCTTTATTCCACTAAGTGGGGTTTGCTACATGAATCCTTTTCTCCACTATGTCCTATTTAGTGTCATATTATCATTTAATTCTAATAAATTAAGCTTATTTTTTATACAATATGCCCAAGTCATCCTAGGTTTACCTCTTCCTTTCTTAAAATAAGTCGACTCTAAAACATCAACTCTTCTAATCAGATCATCAGATGGTTGACGTTTAATATGACCAAACCATCTAAGACGACTCTCTCCAATTTTGTCTGTCACTGAAGCTATACCAACCATATTACGAATATATTCATTTCGCATTTTGTCTCTAAGTGTAAAGTCACTCATCCAACTAATCATTCTCATCTCAGCAACACTTAACTTAGTTTTATGCTTCTCTTTTAAAGGCCAACATTCAACACCATAGAGCATTGCAGGTCTTACCACCATCTTATAAAATTTTCTTTTAAGGGGTACCTTTCAATCACATAATAGGCCCAAAGCATTCCTCCACTTCAACCAACCAACTTGAATTCTACTAGTAACATCCCCATCAATATCACCATCACTTTGAACAATAGACCCGAGATATCTAACACATTCAGACATTTTAATAATTTGACAACCTATAGTTACATTTTTGTCACTAGAGCTACTACTACTAAAATTAAATTTCATATATTCAGTTTTAGTTCTACTCAAACAAAGGCCATTAGACTCCAAGGTAGCCCTCCATAATTCAAGTTTTTCCTAAGTTTTTTCACTTGCCTTATCCATGACAAGAATATCGTCAACAAAAAGCATACACCAAGGTAAATCCTCCTGGAAGTGTCCAGTAAGACCATCCATAACTAAAGAAAAAATGCTATGGGCTTAAAGTTGATCCTTGAAGTAAACCAACAGAAATAGACAAATATTTGGTCAATCCTCCTTCTGTTTGAACACAAGTAACTGTTCTTGTATACATATCTTTAATAACGTGAATATAAGTCATATCAACACATTTCTTCTCAAGAACTCTCCAAAGGATATCTCTTGGAACCTTATCTTAAGCTTTTTTAAATCAATAAAAATCATATGTAGATCCTCCATATTATCTCTGAATTTCTCCATCAAACCTCTCAATACCTCTCAATAAATGTATAGCTTCTGTAGTAGACCTGTCCGGCATAAATCCAAATTGATTATGAGAAATCTTTATAATACGTCTTTACCTATGTTCAATTACCCCCTCTCATATTTTTAAAATAAAACACATCAACTTAACTCCTCTATAATTGGCACACTCTTGTGCATCCCCTTTATTCTTAAAAATGGTACCAAAATACTCTTCCTCCACTCAAGTATCTTTTTAGTTTACGTCGTAAATTGTTCTTTTAGACTCTCTGCTGATCGTTTGATATTTTTCTCTGTTTTATAAGGTTTTACATTTAAATCAATTTTTATAACATAATTTCTTATATTTTATCTTTTTTTGCACATTATTATTTCACCACCATCTTTATTTATAGAAATTTTTTCTTTTAATTCAAGTAAATCTTTTGCTATTTGTTTAATAGTGTTTGTTACATTATCCCACATAACATTTGCTTTTTCATGAACTTCCCAAATTTTGAAATTTTCACCAAATTTTGAATATCCTTTTCTAAGAAAAGAACTTTTTTTATTTTCATTTTTAATACAGTTTACTTGAGTTAAATCTTTATTTGGGTAGTTTATACAGATATTTTTCACCTCCTTAATATCTAATCTATTATAAAGATTATTAGTCTCGTAAAAATAATTTTATTTGTCTTTTAAGTTCCTCCATCTAAATTTACAATGATGAGTGTTAGTATTCTTTATTTTTCAACTCTTCATCTTAAAATCTAAAACTAATAAACGATATTGGGTACTTAAATTATCACTTAGAATGACCTTACAATCTTTTCAACATCGCGAACTTCTCTAAGTTTTTACATGTAAACCAATTTTTATAATATATCATCTTATATTTTATCTTCTCTTGCACATTATGATTCGACCACCAACTATGTTTATTTATAGAATCATTTCTTTTTATTCACCAAGTACAACTTTTGTCACATATTTAATAGTTATTGTTACTTTATCCCACATAAAAATTTGATTCTTCATGAACATCTCAAATTTTGAAATCTAAAAATTTAGTCATAAAAATAATTTTATTAGTGTCTTTTAAGTACTTCATCTAATTCTACGATTATGATTCCTAGTATTCTTTATTTTACAACTCTTCAATATTTTATTAGATATATTCTTATAAGTAATAAGATGCTCATCTCATTTTTTGAATAAACTATTAGTAATAATAAAATAATATGCTAAAGCAAAATCTAAAATAGTTCTACCTTCTTCATCAGTCACTCCAAAAACGTATCCATCATGAATATTTTTTGAAATCTTCTACCACTCCACCGACATGTTCATTTAAATCTGGACGATCTCTTCTTCTCATAAGAAAATAATCAATTTGTGTTGTCATAAGAAGATAATCAATTTATGTTTTAGTAGATCCATTCTAATTAATAATGATATGTTCATCTCTTTTCTTGAATAAAGTATTAGCAATAATAAAATCATACTCTTATATCTAAACTTGTGTAGCATAAACACTTATAATATTAAAAATCTTAGTATTAATATAATTTTATCTTCTTCATTCATCACTCCAAAATCATAGCCATCAAAAATATTTCTAAGACAATTTACCACTCTATCCACATGTCTATTTAAATCTCCTCCAATAAAAATTCTTTCTTCAAGAGGTATCATTTGTACTAAGTCTTCTAAGTCATTCCCGAATTTATCTTTAGAACCTATATCTAAACCTACTTGAAGAGCATAAGTACTTATAATATTAAAAATCTTAGTATCAACAATAATCTTAAGGGTTATATTCCAACTCTTCCAACTCTATTAATGTTTACAACATTATCTTTCAAACTCTTATCTATAATTATACATATCTCATTTCTCGTGTGACTTTTAACCTGAATACCAAAGTTTAAAACCTAAGTTATTAATCTCCTTAGCTTTTTTCTCCAATCCATTTAGTTTCTTAAACACATAAGATATTTATCTTTCTATGAATCATAATATCAATTAATTTCATTAATTTACCAGTAAGAGTATCCATATTTCAAAATTCTATCATAATATTAGTTTCATAGACTAACTTTTTTACTCGCATTTGTCTGTAATATGGGAACCCTTACTTATTTGACACTACACCTGGGTGTCAGTGCAACAGCCCTTGCAGACTTTTCCATGTATTCAGACCATACAGCATGTCGCTTTCATGGAACGCCATAAACCTTACACAATGATCAAAAGAATTCATGTGATGATTTTTTTGACAAGTTTTGCACAAGCTATCTATTATCTAACGCAACTCCACTTTTCACATCTGGGCTTGGGAACAACAATGACAGTGTTTGTATTAATTGTATTAATTATTCCAATTTATTCCAAACTTTCTTTTGAACATATCTAAACCTACTTGAGAAACATAAACAAGTATAACATTAAAAAACTTAGTATTAAAAAAAATCTTTAGTGTCATAGTTCTATTTTGAATTTTATTAACTTATACAATATTATTTTTTAAATTCTTTTCTAAAATTACACATACACCATTTTTAGTGTGACTCCTACCTGAAAACCGAAATTTAACCTAAACTATCAATCTCTTAGGCTTTTGTCCAACCCATTTATTTTCTTGAATGAAAAAGATATTTATCTTCCTATGAAATATAATATCTATTAATTCCATTAATTTACCTGGAATAGTGCATATATTTCAAGATCTTAACCTAATATTAGTTTCATTAACTAACTTATTTGCCCACATCAATCCATGATGTGGGAGTTGTTGCTTATTTAATACTACATCCAGGCGTCGGTATAGCAGCTCTTGCACATTTTCATTGTATTCAGGTCGTAGAGCGTGTCATTTTCAAGGGACACCGTTGCTTATTTTAACACTACACTGGGGTAGCACGATCACAATATAAAAATAAATTCAGTTTTACACGTTTTTCACTAGGCCACATTTGACCTTATCCACCACTCACACGCATAATATAACTTCCAAGTATCGCACAAGTTTAAAAATTTGATATTGCAATCAAATCATTTGACGCAAGATAAAACTGCACACTAAGTCAGCAAATGCTTCAGAACCGCCTTAATCAATCATTTACCAATCCAAAATAAAAAATAAAAAAATCGCCAACATTTGAGAATAAACCCTACTAAAATTTCCCTAACAGGAATAATAACTACAACCTTATAAAAACACGCGATCCCACCTAATAACTAGCACTCCATGGCATCACATTTTCACACCCTGCGGCGCTAATTCGAGAATGTAAGGATACAATAACCGTTGAAGATCCCTCAAATGGATCTAGCAGCTAAGGAAGAGGGCTACGAGACGAGGGTTTGCGTATTGAAACCAAAAGAAACATGGAATTTGCAAACGTAGAACACATCGATAAAGGACGAGCAGGTGAATGATAAGAAAAGGAGCATACAGAGGAGTGGCGGAGTAGTAAACGGCATGCGGGCCGAATGTGAGAATCACGCAATTTACGAAGTGGAACATCGTCATCCCGCTCCGCCGTCGCCGAGACAGGATGTCGAGGATGCGAAAGAACCCAAAGCGCTACGAAAAATCTGGAACTACACTGCCATTGAGCATTAAAAAATAGTTTGGACAAATTTTTAGCATCATGGAGCAAAAATAATAATAATAATAATAATTTCTATAAAATTTTTGGAGTATTTTTGAAAATTTTATTAATTAAAGGATATTTTTTAAATCTAAACAGACTAAACCCTTAAGTCAACGAGCCCAAAGAGTTGGTGACTACCATGAATCGGATCGAAAGTCTTTTTTTATATAATTTTTTTATTAAACAATACTTGTAATATTTTTTTAAAATTTTTTAATAATTTCTAAAATTTCAATAATTAAATAAAATAATTGAAAATAAAATATCAAATAAGGAATTTTTGAGATGGATTAATCATGATTAATATAATATACGTACGGGGTGAATCAGTGTATCCGCTACGGCGGGCAGTGCCAAGCATGCAGGGCTCATGAGACAAAATCAATAATTTTTCAAGGGGATCGACATGACTCATAGGATATGTCAACAGAGAGTGAGGAATCCCTAAACAGGTAGAAGTTGTCAGGTCAGGATACCATGGAGCTGTCATCCCAAGCAATAAAGACCATAAGTCTAGCTGGTCGTGAAGGTAGTCGACCTAACTCAACCAAAGATCCTTTGTCAGTAATCCATAAATTATGTCATTCAAGAAGACTTGGGTAGCCCTAAGATCAAAAGAATGAAACTCTAGTTTTAATAACCCTTTAAGAGGTAGATTTTGTAGAAGGTGAGACATATACTCATCAATTTAATGACAGAGATGTAGTTGGAGTGGAAACAGAAGAGGTTTGGCTACAAAGTTGAAACGCTCTCACAAAAGATTTACACCCTCTTCTAGGTTGGGGGAGTCTCTAGCATTCTAGTTGTACTAAACAACCTCCTAGGTAGAAATTATATGCTTTGCTTAGTCAATTAAAAGAGCACGGGGGCTCCTCCTCGGGACATGCAATATGATTTAGTTATTTACAATTAAATTCAAATGTAGAGGCCCTGTTAGAGATAATTTGGATAATAGTCATGCAATGCAGCTCTTTTTAAATTTGACCTGAAGGCCATGTGAAAAAGTAAGTGCAGATTTTAGATAATTGAATTATTTTAGCCCTAAATTTGATTTATTTTGAATCTTTTATTATTAGTATCTTTTTGTATAAAATTTATATTTTAGTGTCCTTAATGAACCTAGGTTACATTTTCGTAAGGCCTAGATAAACCAAAAGCCAAGGAAGAGAAAATATTAGGTTGGTATCACTGGATCAGTAGCATATCCAAGAAAAGCAGGAAAAGTGGTCAGAATTCACATATACATATCTGATTTTAATTTTATACATTAATATGATTTCAGAATTAAATTACAAGACACGAGTAGCTGGTCCTGCTCCTCATCATGTGGTTCAATGCATCATGCACCTCAGAACCCGTACTCAAACCTTATTTCCGATAAAGACTTAATCCTAAAAAACTCTAATCAAATACATGATGAAAAATTCAAGAAATACACGACCTACAGAAGTGGTTAATGTGGGTTATATCATGCAATGTATATGAGTCATGCATGGTGGGACAAAAGCGTAGTAACACCTTCATAAAACATTAAATTTTGAATCATTATTTATTTCTCCCTTTTTATTTATTTTTAAGTGTGGCTCCCTGCATAGAAAATTGCCCCTAATATACTAGTGCACAAGTCCACACCAAGGAAACACACAAAAGATGGCACACAAAAAGATGTCTCGCTATGACAACCAAACCAGTAGAGAACAATATCTAGGATATCAAAGAAACTACCTAAGAACCGTAGTCCTAGTATAGCATACCATCTAATAAAAAGTGTCCTAGTCACATCATTTAAGTGATATGTGCAGTGCAAGGATATGGGTCATTGTATGGCTGTGATGGTTTTGTCGATTTGGACCTTGTCCTAAAGATCCAAGCGATCTAAAGTATATCTGCCATACGAGTTTTTAAAGTGTTGGCCTCATATATAGCATATTTTTCTAATTGCATCATTTTTAAATAAGATGGATATTTAAAATATCAAAAATATAATTTTTTATATTAGTTTAAAAATTACGTCCATTTAATGCAGGTTTGTAACATGCAAGATGATGTATGTTAGATCCATTGGAACCACATCGCAATCATACATGTATTGATCCTCATGCAGTAACTCATATTGCTTGTCGAGGTTTACTCGGCAAATAGTGCTCGTTAAAGCATCTCTACCAATGTGAGGTCACTCACTTAACGAGTTTAATTTACTATCAAAACACACAGATAAAATGCATGCTAGCAACAAGATTCAACACCTTGATCATTTGAGTGAGCTACAAGCAATCACGATGGGTGTTGAAGGGTGATGATGTGGGATTTTGTGTATGCGTTGTAAATATCTTTCAATAATAAAACACACACACGGCAGTACAATTAGTAAATATGCAGATCAATCACAATAAAAATCACTTCAGTATAAATAATTTTATATTTTAAGAACTTTAAGCTGTCAAATCTAATAATTACACAAGTTTACGTATCGCTCAAGTAATAAAGGGCTCTAATGGAGTCATGAGTATCGATCCCACAAGGAGATGAAAATTCTTATGATTATAATGTAAAACACATTATTTAAATTATAAAAACCTAAGTAAGAAAAACTAATCTAAAGTAAATTAATGTATGCTAAATGAAATGTAGCTATAAGAACTAAGTTAACTAAGCTATTTTTTAAACTTTAAAGTTAAACTTACTAAGACTAAACAAATATTTGTAACGGAGAGAAAGCATACTTCCTCTTTACAATGAGTTTATGGTTAGTGAAGTAATTAAAACCATTTAAAATTATATATAAAATTATATTGTGCCAAATAGGAGCAATCATATTCTTTACCATCTATCAAGTGCATAAAGAATATTAGCTAATCCAGAGTTTGGTCCCTAAATTTGTTGTTAGGTTGAGAGAATACTGGCTCCTACTCTAGAGCTCCCACTTCTCCCTCCCCTGAGGGATAACAATCTCGCTATAGTTTCCAAGCAACTGAACCAAATTGGGGATTTTAGTATTTCACCCTAAAATCTCCAATTCTATGCCCATCAAAATATATTTTTCTATGCCCATCAAAATTCTATGCCCATCAAAATATATTTCCTTATTTATTTGCACTCAACCCGATGGATTACATTCTCACCAATGAAATTCAATGTGACTTTTATCTTGTTGTAGAAAGCATAACATTTTTGGATCTTATGTTTCTCAATAAATTTTAACATTTCAATTGGACATATTGAAAAGTAAATGAAAATCAGAGTTCAAATCATCATAATTTATTGACATTTAAAACTTTGTGTATCAATATTAATTCTTCACAAAATCATATCTCATTGTAGGAAGAATGATAAAGAATACTACTTAGAATTCATACTACTTAGAATTCATGAGACTACTTAGAATTCATGAGAATGATACGACAAAACATGAATTTTATATATAAAAACAAGTTTACAAAATAAAGAAAGGAAAAAAACACAACTTATCTTACACTCCTCCTTAAGCAAATCCCTATAAGTTCCCTTTAAACACTTTATTCCCTTCACGCACTTTCTCTCTTTACAATCATACACAATTCTCTCTAAAAAATGCAATGGAGAAGAAATCTCTCACTTTCCCTCTCCTCTTAGAAATCTAGAAGAAAATCCTCTCCAAAACCTAACTCTCCTCCAATACTTCTCATGCTACACTCTTCACACCACCATCATAGACTTCTTCTTTTAATTGGGGTGTCAGCTTTGTCTTCAAAGGAATTCAAAATTCCCTCCCTTTTCCCAAGAGGAATACCTTTCACATCAAGAGACAAATCCCTTCATCTAAGGGACATATCTCTTCATTCAAGAGTCTTTTCAAAGTGTCTAGATGCATTGAACCACTCCATGGGGTGTTTGAATTACTTGGAGCCTTCTAGAACCTCCCAAAAAGAGTCAATCACCACAACCATCTTACTTCATCTCTAGCACCTATTCTGGCGCCTATGGTGCTAGTTTACTAGGGTTCTGCGCTCTCTCTAGATTCTCCAACTCTGGCATTAGTTCTCTGTAAATGGGTGCCTCTGACGCTAATAGGTTGAAAAACTGCATTTTGACTCTATATTTCTTTCTTTTTGCTCATTTTTGGTCCAAATGCCTAAAATCAATATATGTGCAACAAAATATAAAATAATCTTCTTTAAAGTGCAATATCACCAAATTTAAGCATAAAATTGCACATTTTTTTGGATTATCAAAATCTCCCAAACTTAAATGTTTCTTGTCATCAAGTGACTCTTTTACTACATAAAAATATGACTTATGATTGAGATTAACTTATAAACTTCTAGAATTTTGAGATTAACTTATAAACTTCTATTAACTTATAAACTTCTAGAATTTGGCTTAATAAATATAATAGTATAACTTAAGAAAAACTTTTAATAACTTAGATTAAAACTAAAAGTATACGAACATCTAGTAGTCAAGTCTAAAATTTTTGAGATTCTATTCAATTCAAGAACTGTGATTTGTCATATTAAAGATACTTAGAATCCATACGAAAAAGAATTTCATGATAACTTTATTGTTAAGGATGTTAATACTCAAATAAAAGTTTAGAAAATGTAATCAAGCATTTTTCCTCAAGTTGATTCAAGTGAAATCAATTTTTGATTATACATCTCTTCAAGCTTTTCCTCACATATTTTTATTTTCTTTTCCTTTTTCTTTTCTTTTTTTTTCTTTTACTTTAGGATCATTTTCAATCATTTCTTTCCATCACTTTATAAATTTATATTAACTTGGAATATTTTTCAGAAAGTTTCATTCTTTTCTTCTTATATCAAACTCTAACATTCTTAATACTTCAAAAATACAATTTTCCTTACTTTAAATAAAAAAAAAACATATTCTTATCCTTTCATATTAAATATCTTAACTCTAGAATTGACTTTCATTATTAAAGATTTTTTCTTAAATTTACTATAATATTTTAAAAAAATATATATATTTAAAAACAAC